TAGTCTTAATTATCTCATTATAGATTCTAAGTATTTCCAGCTGCTTCTTTACCCCTTATTGCCCGGTCCCCCCGCCCCCCATGTCTATTTTCCAGATAGTCTCTGCCAAGTCATGGACACAGGTGATATATTGATGTATTCTTCCTATCAGAACATTAGTTATTTCTGATCAAGCTTCTCACTTGCTAAACCCTTCTGGGACATCTACCTCTGTTTCTTTTTATCCATGAGGATAAATATGCTTTGGCCAATTATTAGGACATGAGGACAAATTTTAAAAAACTACATTTGACTTTCACTGACCAGAGAACCATTATATACCTATATAGAGCAAATAATAAACATGAATCTATCTGCTTATTTGATAGAAGCTTGGAAAGTAATCCCTTCTCCCTTCTTCTCACTGCCCTCAAGCCTCAAATCAATCATTCAGTCCAAACAGTTCAAATAAAAATGAAAAAAGAAAAAGTTACCTTTCCTAATTGATTGAGAATATAAAAAGGTGAAGTAACAGTGTAGTACAAGTGAATGTGTGGTCACAGGGCTACAGGTTATATGACTGACCTTGGGCAAGTCATGTAGTCTCTCTGAACCTCACCTTTCTAACAGATAAGCAATGCAATAATACCTATTTCACATGGGCTGTTGTGAGGATCAAATAGAATAATGTGCGAGTGGTTTGCAGACTATAAATTTATAAACAAATGTTAGTTGTTATTAATAAAGAAAAGGAAAGTTTCCTTCCTCTGTATATTTTTACTTTTACCATTAGTAGCTATTTCTAGAATACTCTTCCTTTTTTATTCAAGTCATTTACTTTTTATTTAAAATTCCTCAAATTTAAGCTAGGGATATCTTCAGGTGCCAATTATCTATTAAAAGCCACAAAGGTAGGTGAATATTATAGCACGCTCCTCCCTAAAGAGAAAATATCTCTTAATGTCTATAAATAACATTTTAATATTAACAGTCCCTTGATCATTACAAGATAGGACTTTTTCTTAGAGTCTGAGTATCTGAGGAAAACACATGCTCACTCAGATCCTAGCAACATGCTTCTCATCTGAGTAGTTCAAGAGAAGGTGCAATCATAAAAAGGCCAAGAAAAGCAACTGTTAGTGACACCAAGGAAAAACAATTTTAGTGACACTGAGTAATTCTAAGTTTGTGGTTGGTAAAAACTTAATTTGCAATGAATAATATTCAGTACTCCACAAAACAAAGAGCATTGTTGTAGTTCTTTTCCACACTTCCCTTCTCCAATATTTGTCAACTGAATTCACCTCTATTCAAATTAAACAAAATAGAAGGTTTTATTTATTCAAGTATTTTATACTGAACAGCTCCCTGGAGGGTCTCCATTTACTGGCTTGGGTAATATTATCTTTCTTTTAGTTTATTAGATTGACAAAGTTAATTTAAAAATAACCTAGGGAACTTTAAGTGTTTCTTGGAAGGGCTAACATGCGAGCACATATGGATGGCCACCCATTTTCTTCTGTATGTATGTTATCTTGTGAAGAGAGTTTTTGCATTAATTTTTATAATTTTTTAGAATACAGAAATACATTGCCAACATTAAATACCATCATTCTGATGATGAAATGCTTTCAATTCTGTTCTTTATACAAGTGAACATTTCATCTAGTGTAGCCAAGGAGCAATTTGATAAAATGGTACAACAGTTTATTGCCAAAAAACCCCCATTTTCATCTGAAATACAACCTGGGGCACATAGCATCTAATTAAATTCATACAAAGTACAAATAATTGACTAGAAACCAAAATGCATTTCAAAGTAAACACCAATTAATGTGACACCCAATTTCTTTCCCCTTTTCTAATCACCCCAATGTGCAGGTGTGGCTCATACACAACATACTCAGTTTAGTTTGTTGGATTCGATTAGAATATGCTTTATATTTCAGTCCAAGAATTACATCTCATGCTTCACAGGCAGGTTGCTCGGGTGTTTTTTCTATTTGATTTAAAAAAAAAAAAGTCAGTGATATAAGAAGTTCTTCTCTAATTTTTCTTTGAGAAGAATTCTCATTACCTAATATTTTTACCTCTTTCATTTAATACATGGATCTGTGCTTCTTTTGACAACAGCACCATCTTTTTTTTTTCTTTGTTTCCATGACAGTGAATACACAATAGAAAACTATAAAGCCACACATACAGGAACTCTGGCAGCTACGTTCCAGTCAACCTAGTTTGTGAGACAAGGCTTCAAATAATAAAACTGTGTTCAGCAACACTCAACAAATGATCATCTATAAAGTAATAACACTTTGAACAGAGAGCAACAAGCGATTAATCGAGCACAAGAGGGGCCAAGTGTAGCTGATCACTTGTGAAAGTAGTCAGCCACTTGATTTGTTTTGTCTTGGAGAGGTCAATGATCAAAGCTACTCCCAGAAAGAACCTGGAAGGAATTGCTGATTCCAGGAACCATGATGATGGCATCTCGGTTGCAATATACTTATGTGTCATTCATTCACTAAATATTTATTGAGCAACTACAATGTAGCAATAGGAGATCAGTGCTAGAAAACATGAAAAAGGCAAAGTCCATGCCCTGAAGGAGCTCAATGTATTTTGGGAAGAAGAGCAACTCTGGTTCTTAACAAGGAATAGAAGCTCTGCTAATATACCACAAATCGTCCCTTGATGCTTACAATATACATTTAAGTATTTCAAAAAGTGAAAACCACTAATAAATACTTTCTTTTCGAACAATGTTAAAGTTCCATGACTGTAGTTGCCATTGTTTTTAACTTTATCTATACCCAGATTCAATTTCCTTGTATTGAGCACCTACCAGGTACCAGGCACTTCCACATAGTCAGTTTCTACTTCTCCCAAGCTATCTAAAACGTGTTTGCAACATAGTGGATATTCACCATTTTGAAAAAACTGTGAACTAAAAAAATTTACACTATATATTGTTATGGGTTAAGTAATTCAAAGGAATCTAAACCCTGAGAAACCTAGGAAAATCCTTTTTCAGTTATTCAAATTTATATATTTTACTCGGGCTTCTCATACCTCATAGTTTACATTAAGCGATACTAAATAAAAGTAGTCTTCAAAGTGGCAGCGTGTAATGCAGGGTCTTTCTGGGCACCATCATGACTCTCAGTTATCACCACAATGGTAAGTACGGGCGTGCTGTGAATACTGGTAGTGCCGTCCTGTTGTTTAAGCTACCATGGATTTATGGAAGGTTCTTTTGTCTATGATGACTATATGAGAAAGGATCTTGACCCACTCCAGGTCCTGAAAATGTGTGTGACATGAACCTATTTCTAGGAAATCTCCTCCATTTAGTTCTCTTTAACTTTGGTCTCCCCACTTCTTTCACTGTCTGAGATGACAGGGTCATTTAAGGAGCATTTTTAAGGCTTTAGGAAATAAATTCAGTCCAGACAAAGGTCTAGACAACTCTTCTTTAATGCTTGCACAACTGGGAGGAAAGCAAGAGGGCAAGCTCCTTGAGGGCAGGGGCCTGGATGCCTGGCTGGTTTCTGTCCTGGCCTCAGAGCTCCCAGCACAGTGTGTTCTCTCAGTGATTACTGAGGACAATGACAAAGAGTCAGGCCGCTCCTCTTCTCTCCACCGCAGCAGCCAAGAGGTACAGGGTGCAGTATGCAAAGCTGTCACTCAGATCTCCCACTTGCCTAAGGTAGCAGATGATTGGGTTTTGCATGCCTGGTTTACACTCTTCAAATATTTATAGACAGTTCTCTTTGCCTCAAGCCCTAGTTGTCACTTAGCCAAGTTATACATACATGGTTCTTTTAATCTTTCTTTAGAAATCAATCCCACCAAGCTCCTTAATCATTCTAGATGCATTGCTCTCAACTTTTGGCTGTTTGTCTCTCTGGTCATTTATTCTGTTGAAATGCATGAAAATAATACAGATGTGGAACAGAGGGTGGTTTAGTCACCTTTCTATTACAAGGAGCAATGTCTTTTATGTGCAAAAGAAAATTATCCTTTTTCCTTTTGTATGATCATGTTTTTAAAAAATTGATATTTAAGTTGATGGATCAATCAATACTTGCAAGAGAAAGGATGAAAAAAGTATCATCAGTATTATATTCTCTAAGGATGATATCGTCATTGATTGAACTCTTTCTTGTGTCTATAAACTGATTAATTTAACCTGCAGTATTCAAACATGGGGGGAAAATGGGAACCCAGCATAATATAGTCACCACAAAGAGGCTTAAGTGCCCATCCTCAGGTACTGTCTACTTGTGGATATGTCTAGCTAACTTCAGCTTTTCAGTGGAAAAAATTTTTATAGAAGTTATATTTTTTCCCATTATAAAAGTACCCCCTTAAGAAAATTTCAAATAATCAAAAATGAGAAAAAGTCACTACCACAAAACAACATTTAACATTTTTAAATAATTTCATTTAAGTCTTTTTTGGATGCATTCCCCACCCACACCCCAGGCATGCTCATATCATTTGCACAGTTTAACAGCTAGCTTTTTCACTTAATATTATAAAATGTCATGTATTGCACTGCCCTCAAATCCTGATTTTAATGAGAGCAGACTACTCCATCAAGTAAGTAGATGTGCTTTAACTTTACAATTCCCTATTGCTGGATATTTACATCATTCCCAGTTTCTCTCTAGATTAAATGTCATTACAAAGAAAATCTTTGTGTGTAAAGCTTTTCTGTATTTAAGACTACTCCTAGATTCATAGCAGTAAAATTAATGGATCAAAGGATACCCAGAAAACAAATCCTGAGGTAAAGAATTAATGCAGGTTCTATTCGAAGTGAAAAATACCACTTTAAGTACAAAGATTTGTCTTTTGGCTCCGATGCCCAAATCATAGGGAGTTGTAGAACACTGTCAAAGATGGCAAATTCTAGTAACTTAAATATAGTACTCACTAGTAGTCTGCTCCTTTAACTGCACAAGTATATTGTTGAACCCTTATTAATCAAGTTAAGAATCAATTCTTCACCTTACCTAGATCTACCATCAGAAGGCGAGTGAGGGCAGTGTAGAAAGTGGTTCGGCACCTGAAGTCACTGAGACTGTAACTGTCACTGATTCCAAGGAAGGGAAAGTGTTCACTCTAATGAAAGCAGAAGAGCATCCAAAGTTACTAACGCTTTACCTAAACTATCCAGAAAATTCTAGTCATGAATGAAAAGAAATAAGACTTACCGTGTGGTTTTTTAGCATGAACTTCACGGCATCTATCTTCACAAGTTTTTTTAAAAGGATATAGGTAAAAGAAGTTAAGGAATCTGGGGAAATATAATTGTCTTTTCAATAGATAATAAATCACAAAATAACCCTGAACTATAATGGCATCAATTTCTATTTATGAAGAATCGATATTATTTCTAAAGAGTATTCCTACAGAAGTGTCTTTCATTCTGTTAAGAATGATAATCCATTATTAACCAGTGCAATTACTTTTCCTATCTTATACATATTCTAGTTATGGAAAGGAAAAATGAATTTTATAATTAAGACAAAAACTTCTTTACTATTAAAGCCTTGATAGTAGAAAATTAAAACTGACCCTTTTTACATTTTGGATATAACTCGAGAACTTCTTTCCACTTAATATTATTTCATAAAAAATAATTATAAAAGACTCATAATAGAGTATCCAGAAAGAGAAAATTATTCAATTCTAAGAAACAATGAGCCCAGTTAGTAGAAATCTAAGGAAATTCTGCTTTAGATGAAGAAGATCAGAATACAGTTAGAAAGACGTAGCTGACTGCATGTCATCAAGTGTTGAAGGACAGGTTTAAATGACCTAATATTTCTCAAGTACCTACTAGGTTTAAGACATTTCATATTTGTTCATTCACCTAATCTTCACAATTACCCTGTTAAATATTATTTTTTTCTAATCCATAGATAAAAAAACCGAAGTTCACAGAAATTAAGTTACTTACCCAAGATTACACAGCTATGGACTGACAGTGTTGAGATTTGAACTGAGGTTTGACTACAGAGGCCATGTTCTTTCTAGTGTACCACATTACCACCTGAACAGTTCAATTCAGAATGAGAATAAAGTTGAGAAATCATAAACATTAGCACAAGACCTAAATAATTTCTCGTTAATGCTGCCATCAAAGAAGGGCCGACGTGTTGCTAAGAACATCTATTGAGCAGACAAACACCCTCTTCTCTTACTTAGTCATTCAGGTGTCGGTGTAAAAGAGCAGGAAAAAACATTGAACACGAGTCAGAAAAACAGGGCTTCTGGCTTGACTACACCATTCAGTCAGCTGGATGAGTCTGAGTACCATACTCAGCTACTCGGGGCCTTAGTGTCCCTCTCCAACAAATGAGGGTGATACCCAAGCTATCTTACAGGATTGTTGTGAGGATCAGATGAGGCAAATGTCTTTGCCAATTATAAGTCAGGGAGGAAGACACAAAGATGCAGAGAATTAACATGTACAGATGTTTGCTACTTGCAGGGTTAATTCTCACAAGCCCAGGGGATAGGCAGTATCACTTCTGTTTTTCTGATGAGGAAACAAATTCAAACAAACTCAATAAAACTTTCCAAAAGACAAGCAGTATAATTCAGATTCAAGTCCCTCTGACTCTAAAGCAACAATTCCGGTTGCATGTTAAGCATGTGTATTTGGCTCACCCCCATATTAAGGCTGTAAGCTTTCTAAGGGCAGGGGCCACACCTATGCATTTTGCTCAGTGCACTGCTCTCAGTGGGTGCTCAATGCACTGTGTTTTTCTGGCAGGCTGAACGGGAATAAGATCAGGGCTGATAGGCGGGAGGTCTTCCCTGCGTACAAAGATGAGATTTGATGATTTTTTTTCCCAGTATAAATCACTGAGCAGAAGAACTGCCACTCAACCTTCACTCATTTAAACAGGGGTGGGGATCAATAAACTAAGAAATATCTTAAGTAATTATCAAATACAATTCTCTTGGAATTGCAAAGTTAAAAGTGACAGGGTCTATGGGTAATAAGAATGCTGCCATTAATAGGAATCTTCCTGTCAGTGCTACTAATAAAGAGCAAGTCATGTTTTGACAATAGAATATTTATGGTAGCAATAAACAGAACATTCACAGGAAGAATCTCATCTGCCAAAGACACATTTTCTGTAGAACTGCATCTGTGCACTTTGTATCAAGGCCAGCCTCACTGCCTTTTAATTACATTCTAAAGCAAAAAAAAAAAAAAAAAGATTAAGAATAAATTTTTCCTTTTTTCAATAAAGAAAAAAATAAGAATTCATCTGATTATTTATATTCCCTTATAGGAATTCAACTCAAAGCTATTACAGCCCTTAAGAGAGTTTGTAATGTTTTCTTAAAAAGGCAAATGGATACATCATCTTTATGATCTTTTTACTTTCATCTTGTTCTTCTCTAAGAGACTCGGATTCTTAGAAGATGCACCATTTCCGTTGGGTGGCAGCATTTTAGTTGCATGGCAGGACTAGGCCAGATTTCGGAGTCTGTCTGGACCAGCTCCTCACAGTGAACACAGTAATGGTGGCTAACAGCACCAGTAGCAGGAGCCTAGAGTAGTGAGTAAGAGAATTTAGTGAAGGTCACTCTTGGAACATGTAAATGGTAGGGCTAAGATTCAAATCCACATGTGTCTGACTCTATACTATAAGCTCTTTTCACTAGGTTACATCATATCCATTTGATTTTGAAGAGGCCAGTGATTTTATAGAGATCACTAGTTTTTTTTGAGACATTAAGAGAAACTGGAACTGGGTCCCAGAAAAGACAGGGAAACTGTTCTTTTAGGAGGCACCATCATTAATGAGCCTTCACCACACCCAGGACAGAGCAAACTCCATAGCCTGGCTGATATTAACACACTAAACAAAATTCCTAGGAAATTCCTGTCTGTATCCATGTGGTTATGAAAATACCGAGGAAGGTGAACATGGTCTTATTGATAGCTAACATGGCAAATGAAGAAAGGAAAGAAAAAGTCAAGACAAATGGTGTATCTTACAGATGGAAAATTTTGAAAATTTTGACCTTTGAAGGGGAAAACCAAATTGAGAATGAGCTGGTTTCTTCGGTTACAGGAGTACTACACACTTTAGTAGCTGATGGGCATATAGCAGGACCAAGTATGACTTCAATTCATGGTATCTAGCCTTTACTGAGTATCTACAACATTTCATCAAACCTAAAATGCCACTGGTTATAACAGACATCATTATTGTATGTGCTAAGAAAGGTGTTTTAAAATACCATCAATTGTGGTATTTATGTATATCTTATTTACAGAAGTGTTAAAATGTGAAGTAATTTCTGTTTTAGAATCAAAAGGAGTGGTGTATTAGGCATATGATATCCACTAAGCACCAGACGTAGATGATACAGTGATCTAGGCAATTATTGAAAAACCATACATGTTTACAAATAGTTTTTGCAGACAGAATTAGATCCTGATGATAGAAGAAAGTTCATAGATAAGAAAATGACGTGTTGGAAATTACTTTAGGCGGATGATAGGTACAAAGTACAATGACTGAAATACTAGTGTCGTTGATTTCAAAATTGAGATTACGTCCATAAACCCCACTAACCTAAAAACATCCAAATACGTCTAACCAAAATGAAGCATCTTAAGGAATACTAATAATTACTTATAAGGAATACAAGTTAAGGCTTTGTCAATTAACAAAAGGGGTAACATTAATTCAAATGCCCACTATGTGAAATTTTGAAACAAGAGGAAAAAAAAAAGACTCCTAATCTCTAATAACTTACAAAGTAAAAGAAGGGCCTAGCCAATACTAAGCTATATGATATTCATCCTCAGATATATAGATAAGAACTAGGTGTTCAGGAACATTAAGAAAAATAAAGATGATAGGAATGAAAATGAAAGGAGTTAATATTCTGTGAGCACCTCCTATGTGACAGGGTCAGTAGTACCAGGCGCCTTATTTTATTAGATAAACAGATGTATTGTTACAGTGCTGGCTTCGGCAGCACATATGTGAAAACTGGAATGATACAGAGAAGGTTAGCATGGCTGCTGTGCAAAGATGTATTGTTACATATTTATTATTTTATATAATCCTTACAAAATCCCAAGAGATAGGTAATATTCCCTTTCTACAGATGAAGTAACTGAGCCTCCGAGAAACTAAATGATTTGTTTTCGTTCTTTCAGTTAATACCATGACAAAGGATCACAACTGCTTTGGTACAGCTTCACTAAGTCTTTAGCAAGACCCAAAAATTTAAGAGAGACCTAACTGAGTTGCAATGGGTCAAATGAAAAGAATAGCATATGTGGTGATTCAGTGAAAGACAATGAAGGGTGTCAAGCGGAAGGTAAAATAAATTTCCCTGGCCTGAGCATAAAGTACAAATTGTGGTTGAGCGGTGGATCAGGAAATTAGTTATGAGAACTCCATAAGTCAAGTACTGTTACAGGACTCAAGTTCTAATCAATAATTTTACTTTGACCCGAGAAGCAAGCGGAAGCGATTCTGGGCTTTTGGCAAGAGAAATGATCAGATCACAATAATACTCGAGGAAGGTAATCTTATGAAGCAAGAATCTAAAGAACTGGGTGATGGTTTGAATAAGTGGGTAGAGAGGATTCTCACACTTGATTCTAGTATAAAAACAAATGGAGCAGATAAATTATGGGATGACTTTTCCATGGATAATAGAGACAGAAAAACAGAAATAAATCAACATTTCTTTTGATGAGAAATGTTAATAGAAGTACGCCTGAGGGATATATGCTGAAACTAGTTTTATTTAACATTCTCAAAACCATCTGGAGATGGTGGTATTCACTGAAATAAAGCAATTCATTTTAATTCTGTTTCACAAAAGCAGAATTACTACTGGTTATTACTAAGTATTTCCTGTAACAGACATACCAAATTGTACTTCTATCCCTCACCCTTATTTCATTCTACACCTTGGTTTCATCTCTCACCCCCAACTCTTTCCTGACCCCCACCTAATTCAGGATTCACACCCCAGTGGTGGGAAGATCAGTGAGAGGTTAAGAAGGTCTGGCTTGCACGTTACTTGTATACTTAATGGTTTCTATATAAGCTACATCTAAATGACCCTAAAAAGAGCTCCCTCAAAACTACCATATCAAAATGTCACATACCCACATTATTTTTAATGCACAGACTTTCAGACAATTAGCATATAATTTATTTGAGTTAAATTTTAAAAAGAAAAAGAAACTATGTTACTAAAACAATGGACTTTGAGCTCTTAGGAAAAATACGTGAAAGGTGGTCTGGAATCAGGATCAATCCTGTTAGAATTTAAAATCTGTGAGGGCAGAGCCTGTGTCTCATTTGTCTTTTTGCTCTGTACTTAGAAAATGCCTAATTAGTATTTGCTGACTTGAAAGAGGCCAGTAATATAAAGTAAATTATTAGGATGAATATGGAATTAAATTATTTTACTCTTAGTGTTAAATCTAAAAGGATGCAGTTCTGGGTATCGCACTAACACAACAAAAAGCAAGCATGAAAAGACAAATGAAACTGGAAGAGGTTTGGGGTTGAAAAAGAAAAGCATCACCGTGACCAAGCAGCCTGAAGAGGAAGCAGACTCTTTGGCTTGTAAAAATGCGAACAATTGAGAGAAGCTACTGACAGATAAATAGATTCATAATGCATGTGGGTAGGAATTATATTCACCAAATCCTGGTATACAGGAACTAAGGAGATAGTCTCAAAGTCTTAGAGGGCTAGTGTGAAGCCAAATGGAGGGAATTATTTCTTTAACAAAGAACTTGAGCCAGCTTCATAGATGTCCATGCTATGCACTTGCACAGGGTTCTTCTATGCTTAGAAGGGCCTGTGCTTGCTTCAATGCTGTGCTGTTGAGGTCTTGAATTTTTTTTTTTAAGATTTTATTTATTTATTTGAGAGAGAGAGCGAGCGAGATTGAGAGAACATGAGCGGGGTGAGGGGCAGAGGGAGAAGCAGACTCCCTGCGGAGCACGGAGCCCCACGCGGGACTCAATCCCAGGACCCTGGTATCATGACCTGAGCTGAAGGTAGACACTTAACAGACTGAGCCACCTAGGCGCCCTTGAACTTTTTTTTTTTTTAAAGATTTTATTTTTAAATAATCTCTACACCCAACAAAGGGCTCGAACTTACAACCCTGAGATCAAGAGTCACATGCTCCACTGACTGGGCCAGCCAGGTGCTGATAACTTATGAACAAGGCACCCCACATTTTCATTTTGTATGTGGCCCTGCGAATTATATAGGTGGTCTTGCAATAACATGGAGAAGTTATTCATCCTAAGAACTGTAGTTAACAGTCTCAACAGGGTAAAATGAGTTTGGATACATTCATGAATTAGTGTAGAATCTGGTTTGGGGTCTGTTTTTAAAAAGCTAAAGATATTCTGGGTTTTCTTGAAGACGATGTAGTAAGGGCAACTACCAACAGAGGGCCTAACAGAAAATGAAATTTCCTTTCTCATTATTATCTACCTGAAACCCAAAGTGAGACATGTTGTTGCTGTAAATTTGAGTAAACAATGAATTTAAGTAGAAATACTGATCAATTACTTTTCAAGGGAAAAAAAACCTTGAAATAATGGTTAATAAACAAACAGAATTCTTGATGAAATGTAACACTTTCCTCCCTCTTTCTCAACACTTAAAATAAGTTTACGACCCTTCTCTCCCCAGTTTCCCCAGCCGCTTCCCTGTTCCATCACTTAAACAGTATCACCCCTTTCCCAGTTAGACAGAACTAGACAGAAACCCCCTTCCCAGTTAGACAAAAATTGGAAAGTATTTGAAAGAGGGAAAAGGATCCACAAGTATTAAACCTGGATGTGGAGGGCTGCCCAGGACAGAGCCATTTCAACTCTGTACATGTTAGATAAAGCTATTTAGAATCTGAAATTCTTGAAATTTAGTCTTCGAAATTTAAAGAGTTTATTAAAAAGTTACTCAGATGTATCTGCTAAATGTATTATATATGCCCCATGTAATGAATCTGATGGGAAAACAAATCTTCCCTCAAAAAGGCCACTGGATTTAAAATTACAGTAGCCTTACCAACTTGGAAAGCTTCAAACCTTGGGGTAAAATGCAACAGGCTCTCCAGTTAATATCTGGGGACTTGGGGCGCCTGGGTGGCTCAGTCATTAAGCGTCTGCCTTCGGCTCAGGTCATGATCCCGCCAGGGTCCTGTGATCGAGCCCCGCATCGGGCTCCCTGCTCTGCAGGAAGCCTGCTTCTCCCTCTCCCACTCCCCCTGCTTGTGTTCCCTCTCTTGCTGTGTCTCTCTCTGTCAAATAAATAAAATCTTTAAAAAAAATAAATAAATAAAATCTGGGGACTTAATGTAATGGCCTCCTCACACACATTATAATTTAGAGGAACTACACTATCTCCAAAAATGTCAAGTCTGCATTTCCCTAGTGAAGACAAAGTCCTATAGAGAGGTACCTGATTTTCTTATTTGGGATATCCAGTTCTATTTTCCAATTATCTAAAAAGCACAGTTTGGCCCCTAAGCCACCAGCATCACCAGAAACTTGCTGAAAATGCAAATTCTCAGGCCTCAGTCTAACACCTCCTAAAACATCAACTCTGGGGGTGAGGTCCAGCAATCTGTATTCTAATAAACCCTCTAATGATTCTGATCATCACTAAAGTTTGAGACGACTACCTTAAGGCAAGTAAACACGAGACTTTTCAGCACTTCCTAAAAATGAGGATCTTTTGTGATTTCAATTTCCAAACAAGTGGTCAGATAGAAGAACACCAAAGTTCACAGACTGGCTTTGAGAACCATAAACAAACACTGAATAGGATTCACTCTGAAGAAGATAAAAACAGAAAAAATGAAATGAAAAGTATCTGAAGACATGCATTAGAAAGTAAACAGGAACATTTAAAAACTTTGTAGTAAGGCGCTTTTCAGTTATTCCTTCCTAATATTTTAAATACAAATATTTTGAATATTAATATATAAACAGATTTCCATGAATAGAGGCCAGTTGGTGATGATTTTTATCTTGCATAACGTTTCTACTGCTGAAGAGTGCTATCTTATTTTTAACACAGATATAATGTATTGCTTTAAAATCAGGATTTAAAAACACATTATAATAAGGAAATCGATTGGAAACAACAAAACATGCATTAGGTAACCAGCAACTGCACTGAAATAGACATACTACTCACATATTCCATTATGTAAATGAATTCAAAGATATTTCATGACTTATCAGCTAGAAGGGACATAATGATTTATAATTCAAATAACTGAGCACTGAAATCAAATTGAACTAATATATATTTCTAAATATGGAAACCTGAAATAATTGTTAAAAAATATAAATCAATGTACCCAAGTTGAAATCATTCGTATCCCTTGGTTTAAATGTTATAGCTTTTAAGTTTTATCTAATAAGTTCTCTGAAAATATGATTTTTTTATTAACGTCAAAAAGAAGTGTTCAAAAGCAATAAACAGCTTATGAAACAAACCGTTATAATTTTAGGATTAAAGAATATGTAAGAGACATAAGGTGATAGGAAAAGGATCTTACTTAAATAGTGGATAGAAATAAATTAGGCATTATGCAAATTATTCCAAAAAGAATACAAATTGAATTAATTTTATATTAGATTTCAATTCCAACCTAAAAAATAGGGTAAATCTAAACAATAGATACGTGCTATAAAATAACACCGGCTTCCTTCCAGATAATATGCTCTCAAAGTAATTCACTGTGAAAAGGCCAGAGTTTGCAAGACTAGGAAGTACTTATAAACCACTTCATATGTTAGAAATAAAGAGTATTTCAGCATTATTATTAAAAAAAAAATACAGGTTGAGTTTTTTTTTTTAATAAGAAAAAATACATATCTTAAAAAGCCAAAATGACCACTGGAATTGGGTTGTACATCACTTTCCAGTAAAAAGGAAAAACAGCCTGGACAGGTGTAATTTATCATTTTTCTGATTTAATATCAAAGAAATATATTAAAATAATAAAAAGAATCCTGAAATCCTCAAAATTTGTAGTGATAAATAGCCCTCCCTGTCTTTATTACATTATACCTACTAACAGAAATATTGCATGGTGGATTTTGCCAGACAAGGACGATTATTTTCCAATAAAAAGTTGCATATTAAATTTCAGCACAAAAGTGGGTGTCTAATACTTTGGAAATCTTTTATGGTTTCCCAAGGAACACAATTTTAAACTTAACTAATACAAACATATTCCTGCAGTAAACCTACATTAAAAATTTCCATCCAATGCCACCGATTTTCAGAATGCTGTCCTCATATTTAAATATCAGCTAATCTTGGTGGTTAACTAAACCAACACTTATTTTTCATAACTCCTATATATTTGATAGCTAACATATAAAAGACAATCTACATGCTTCTCTCTCACTGGCAGAAACAGGACAATAGTATTAACTATAATATAGTAAGAAAGGATGATTCTGGTTTTAGATTTAAAAAATCTGCTAAACATAGAAACCCAAACATTTAATGGATAATGGGAAATCTTATTTTAGAGTAAATAAGCTGTTGATCTGGTGGCGGCAATAATCCAAAAAGTGGTAAAAAAAACTTCTATAATTTTCTTCCTATTACTCCTTCGTGCCTCTTAACTAATCAAAATAATATTCTTTTCAATTGAAGAATACTGAAGCTATAGTATTTACCCTCAGGAATTCAATTTTTAGAAGGTAGTATTTTTAGAACATCTTGACCTTCTTCAAATTAGTTACATGCTTTCTTTTAAAACAAGAACTCCCTGACAATTAAGAAAAATCGCAGACTAAAACACATATGGTTGCATACTTTCTTCTGTATCCATTTACTAAACTGGATGGATATAAACATAACTTTAACTAGTTAGGAATCTATATATCCATATAAATTCAATTGTGATTCTGGATAAATGTTCATAGTTGGTAGCTAATATAAATCTGTCAAAAACATACTTTACAGATAAGGCTAAATGAAAGGTTTTTTTTTTTTAATTAAAAACAGTTACAAACATTATGAACAAGGAAAATACCTGGCCAACAGAATACACATGTTAGGGTGTTTCTATACATTACTAGATATACAGTAAAAAGGATATCCAACAGAAAGATCATTTAGGAACTGAAGAGTCCTTGAAATCACGGGCTCGCATCTTCCCCAGTATTTAAGATTTGTAACACTAAATATGAAAAAAAAAATGGTTTTAATTGTAAGTAAGGTATTTGCTTGTATAGAGAGAACATGGAAATACACATATATTTACGTAAGTTAGGTCACCTAAGTCAGAAATATCTCACAAAGTTGAAAAACAGGTTTAAATACCAGGGGAACATTTTCTATTCTATTCTTTTTAATGGCATAATCAAAATTATATGCAATCAATGTATAATGAACATTGTTCTCCGAATGGTGCATATTCTCTAAATTTAGTTTTATAAATTAAAAAATTGCCTGTTTCACAGAAGAAACATCAAGTTTGTATCTAATATAAACATATTAGGGAATGACAGCAAGAGTTACAAAGGAAGTCAAACAGAGGCTCACAGTTAACGAGCAAGAAATGAACCATCAAACTTGTGACTCCAAAGCTCACTTCTTATGATCATGATTGTTTATGTAGCTTTGTTCTCTGCAAGCAACACAGTACTATCTACCTGTTACACAGATAAAAGTGGGTTGCCAAATGGAGGCATACAAATTCAGGCTAAATGTACAAAATTATGTCCATGACTAGAAACTAGTTAATTCTGCTAACAGATTATAAAGGATGATTTAAGGCAAGTTTCCATGAGTATGTCTCTGATAGCCATAGGTTCCCGCTGGAATCAATGAATGCCCTGTCTTAAGGCAATCAGACCTCTCCCAATGATTCCAGTTTGCAATAATCTCTTCAGTTGGTCTTTGAAATTGGGTATTTTCATTCTAATTAAAAACAAAAATGCTGCCCAACTGACTTGAAGAATCCAAGTCTGTAAATGTTTTAAAACCATGTTTTGATGGTGCATACTGCAGTTGTATGGGTACCTTGACAGATAAGAATGTCTTTTGGATGGTGAATTTTAAATATGTGAAATTAAGTTTCAATTAAGAACAATGCTACCATTCTAAGAATTATAGCATAATTTAAAAAGGTCTTTTATTAAAAAACTAAAATTATTAAGAGATTTAAACACAGTAAAAATACCTGTTACATTGAAAGCAACAACAACAAAAGAAAAATCAAAGAACTCACATTTTCGTCATGAATGTTTCTAGAACATGGTTGTCATCTGTTATTCCTAAAACTTCGGACATACGGGCATATACCTGGATGAAAACATTTAACTGTTAAAAGCTTTATCATTAACATATATTTTCAAAAGACTATTCAAATTGAACACATGTAAGATTTAAAGCATTGTCGCATCCACACTGAAGAAGGGAGTGGGTAGGGAGAGCAAATGAAGGATTTTTTTAAAAAAGTGTAATTTAATAATTTACTTTTTCTTCCAGGAAGTACCTCTCTTATTTTGAAACACACACCCACACTCACGTACTTGTTTTGTTCCCAGAACACCACATAATTTTTTTTCTCAAAGTGGTAAACCACCCTTTTCTCAAAGACGGGCACATGTATATAAAGGGCTAAAAAATGAAGTGTCTCAATAAAAGGCTCCGGCATTTAAAAAATTTCTATCTATTCCAGATATCAGCAAACCATCAAATAATTCAGGATTATGTTAGTCAGTTATAAAAATAAGGATTTCAAAAGTAAGAGGAAATTAAAGAATTTATAGACATTCTCCTCAAAAATCTCTCAATTAAGTTCCCCCAAATACAGAGATAGGTCTTACTTTCCAGGCTGAAACTGAAATCCCAGGCTCAGAGATTCTCTGCTGAATACATCAGGGCCTGGGAATCCACTAAGCTTCCAATTAGGGAGTGTTGGCTGCAGACTTTGGGGTTCAACATTTCAGTCCCAACCCAAGCCACATTGAGCTTATAAACACATATCCCACCTCAACTGGGAAAATGCCACCAGCAGCGAATGGAATATTCCCTAATAGCCTGGCAAAGCCGAGAGGTGGGTTGACACCTCCATACTCCCTGATGCTCTGGTGTGATTCCAGGTTCTCCCTGCCAGACACCAGCTGTATGGGATTTTTCGTCTGTGATTTGATCCCCTGTGATTGTGTTCTCTCACTTTCTCCTGATCTGCCTATTTCCTAGGGTACGATATGGCAACTTAGCTTTCACTCCCTATGCCTTTTGCTTTTCACATGTAAACACCAGCTTGGTATACTGCCATAGGTCATGAAGGTGAGATAAAAATCACAGGGCACCACAAATCACCCAGAACTATAGGGTTATATAGGGGAGGGAGGCTGTTCATCGCAGAGATTTCGTTATCTGGATTTTAAACACTATTTAAAGTAGAAGCTCATGTTCTGGGCTTTCAACCTAAGTCCCACAGCCAGAAGCTGCTCAGGCAGTAGTGAAATCAGTGGGAGAGAGAGAGGGAAAAGAAGGGGCAAGTGGAGAGGGCAAGAGAAGGAAAGAAGGGGCAGAAAGGTGGAGGGGAAAAGCTGGGGGAGAGAGAAAGGAAGATTGAGATTTACATTCCTGTTGCAACTCTTCTGCTAATTTCTGAGCCCTTCGGAAAAGCATTTTAATTACTCTATCTATGGTTTTGCTCATGAGAGCAGGCCTTCATCTCTCATTAGATTGAAGCTATCACTCTGTTAGTAAGATGTTTAGGGGGAAGAGCGAGCCAGGGAGAGAAAATCTCGGGAAATGAGTTACCACCATCCTCAATGATCAGAAACCTTTAAGCACAGAGAAGGCTCAAAGGAAGACTGGTATGTAGAAAGGGAAGTTTCCCTTATCTCAGCATAACCCGACACCTCTCTCATGGATGGGAGTAAATTGGGCCCTTGGAAACTCTGATATTGATATGATTCATGGCACATGAGGCCCTTTACAACTTGGCCCCAACATACCTCCATCTGAAGCCACAATGAAATACTGACGGACCAACTGAGGCTCCTCATGCAATTTCAGATTTCTAGGAGTTCATGTACTGTTCATTTTGCCCGAATCATTTTGCCTTCATTCTCTCCCCTTGATTCTCATGCAAAAGTCATCTCCTCGGAAGCCTTTGCTGCCTTCCCAGGAAGAATGAGTTGCACTCTCCTTTATGTTCCAACAGTGTCTGGTCTATCCGTCTCTCACAGTATTTTTCACACTGCAATTGTCTGGGTGTCCATCTCCCCCACTACACTGTACCGCATTTTTGTAAAACAAAAGTTTACATTTTCAAGGCTTTAGAAATGCTATTTTTTTATGGCATAGCTCAGAATTAATCTAATTTTTATTTTACCCAAGCCACACTGAATAATAAAAATATAATAACTAAAATGTGATTTTAAACATTCAAGACATTTTAACATTTAAAAAATATCTTTTTTTAAATTGGTAGTTCTTACAAGGAAGTTTTCTGTGGTGTCCCTGGCTTCCAGAAAGGAGGAAGCTAGGCAGGCAGGTCTGTTGTGCTCTGCTGTCAAAACAGTTTCTCAGAGCACCAGATTTGACCCAATAAGATATTAGAAAAAACAGTCAACATTGACACATGGCAGTGCTTTAATCCACAATTATCCTTGTAACTTGCACCATTCCTTTTATCATCCATTAGCTTTGATTCCCATTATCCCATCTAGAACTGTGTCAACGTTTTTGTCCCAAGGGATTTCTCTCCACTACTAGGATCTGACAGTCAAGCTTGAGTACTAAACAGGATCATTACCTCTTAAATCCACTTATCTGATCTACTGAATAGTAAATTGAAAAGCTCATTAAGAGCAACAATCTGATTTGTTTTCACGTGTGACAGGGTCATTTAAAATCAATGTATGATTACTGCATTTCTTTTAAAAGACTGTCTCACATTTTCCAAGGCACCTTATCATTCAGAGAGCATGCAGATAATACGAAAATGTCTTCAAACATTTGGAATTTCATTATACCATAGACATATATAATTTGGGGGTAGGAAGCAGTCTGTCCAGTGAGGAAATATCTTCAAGAATGTTTACCACAAAGCACAAGTCAATGAAGGCTTTCTACAGGAAAAATTCTAACACAATATTTAGGGGTTTTCAACATTTTCTAAAACTTCTATCACATCACCGAAAAAATTTTTATTACAGCAAGAAGAAACTACATCACAATACTCATTTTAAGGGAGGATACAGAAGTTGGCATAGGAATGAAAGAAGGGGAAAAAAAAAAACAACCCTTCCTTTAGTTCATAGATTCCTAATTTTTTATTTCAGAATCAGTTAAGATAATTAGATCATTATGAAAAATAAGCAAAGATTTAAGAAGTAAGAGACTAAGCTCAGGTATGTTGTCCATTCTTCTCTGAGGGATACAGTGAAGTTGAAAATGGCTATGCCTTTGGTTATGTGTTTCACATAACTGGATGTGCACTCATTACAAGCTAGTTTTGCCTGGCCATCTGTGCCTTCCTCCCACTCTTTTTTTTTTTTTTTTTAATATGCCTGTATTTCTCTATTAGACTATAAGCTCCCTGAGGGCAGAGATCATGTTCTTTTATCTCCCATACCTAATACTCGATAAATGTTTGTTTAATAAAAAAATGAATGTAATGTTAAAATGAACATTTTGGCTGATTTCATTTCTTTCACAATTTTTTAACAAAGGAAAACAACCCATAAAAGGTACGGTTTTTGCACAGAACTTTTTCTCTGTGAAAATAATATCAGAATTCTATTCACCAGAAGTAACCTTAGTAAAATTTCATTATTTAAAAAGATGTGGTGTTAATGCTTAAATAGTATTTCTGGAAGAAGCTCTCCCTATAGATGCAGTAAGAAGAGCTCCTCTCCCTTGATACGGAGAGTATACACTGTTGGCCAGCCCGTTAGTGGCACATGCCATATCAGACAACAGAATACAATTTTGCTGTAGTATTAATTTTCCATGTGTCTTTCCTCAAATATTTCAAGCATGTGCTGCCTGACGGCAGGGAAAATATTTATTTTTTTTAACATCTCCAGAAGAAATTAGAACGTTGCCTTGATAAACTTAGCAATGTAGAAGGGCTTTGGTCCCAAAGATATCTGGATTTGAATTCTGGATCTGCCACTAACTAGGTTAAAGTCTCTGAATTTTGGTTTCCTACCTGTAAAACAGGAATAATAATAATACCTACTTAATGGCTTTTGGGCAGATGAAATGATGATACCTAACAGAGCTTGGCATTTAGTAGTTATCAACAAATGCTGCTTTTCTGATGGACCCTTTCTCAGAGTAGGTTTTAAAAACTGGCAGCTAATACCGTTTCAAGAGAAGGCTCATTGCATAAAAAATAACAGAAGAGTAAGAGGGTGCTTACCTCGAAGATTTCCACACTGCACAGATAAAGTTAAAACAAACAAAACCTTAAATCTGTACTAACTTTGAAATCTTTACATATATATTCAGTCAATTCTCCCACTCTAATCATGGTCAGAAATGGTATTTGTTAAAGGCCATAAAGCTTCAAAATTTCATGCTACAAAACTGCATTTTTTTCTACTTCTACATAGCTATTATCTTAGAAGCTAAAAAAATTATCCATTTTAACCACTGATCCATCTCTCTAGCTCTTGAAATACAGAAAGTTGTTAAAAATGCAAGGAATCATCATTATTATAGATTTGAGAAGGCATGGTCCTAAAAAACTGTTTTATAGTATGGTTTGTTTTCTTATCTCTGTTTATCTGACTCTGCTTATTTTACTTTTCAATTTCAGAAAGGAGCACTTGGGTATGTACATAACGCTTCAACAACCCATACGTCCTCTAACTTCTCAACTAACCAAATGACAAACACTGCCCGTGCACAGGCAGGTAGCTTAAGTGATCTTGTATCTGGCTTTTTAAAGGGAAACCAGACAAGATAAGAAAACCAGACAAGGAATAAGCATACAAATAGCAGTAAGATTTTGAGTTGTAAATTTAATTTAATAAAGAATAAAAGCATGTGCTATGATAATTTTTTAAATTGCTCTCTTTTTCCAACCCTAATTCCTGGTCTCGGGTATCTGCAGTGTTGTCTCTAACATTCTGGTTATAACTTTGAAGAAACTAATTATGTCAATCCTTAAATTTGAAGTAGATTACAGAACTGGGAAACCCAGAATATTAGTTCCTAAAGGTTGTATGGATATATAATGACAGTCACAGAAATTCAATAACAGCCCTCTATGAAATGTACTCAAAAGCACCACATGAAACAAATTAAAAAGAACAATGAATCTCTCA